GATCATTTACTCTATGTCTTTTCTTCCTTTTATATTCCCTTGATACTCTCTTTATGATCAACCGTTTAGAAACTGCTTAATTGCTTTATAACTGCTCACTTTCTTCATAGTGGCCAATTTATCGTGGAACTACCGTTTCTAAATGCTGCCACTACTCTTTGTCGTTCAACCGTCTTCAACTAAACTCATTGAATTGTGGAACGTGATAAAATTACCTAATAACTGTTTCGATCACTGCACTTTTGGATAATCATAATATCTTATATTTGCTAAAATCCTGGGCGATTCGAAGGTTTGGGCGAGAACAGGGTCATAACTCTGGGCGACTGCAAGACACTTTATTCGCTCAGATCTTGGGCGTTTTGCAAGTTTCGGCGATGGTGTTACCGCGTTCGTGGGCTTCCACTGCATTCATTAATAACTCTATTTGTGCCTTTATCCTGAATTGTCCAGTTGAGCTTCATTCTTTGGGCTATTCAAATTGGGCTGCACTTTTAGCGTGTCAACACAACAATTAAAATCATTTTTCTGTATTGACATTGTCTCTCATTGAAAAGGAATTTTCATGATTTAGATAATTCATATTCACATTTAGATAACACTGAATGACCTTAAGAATATAGAATAAAAATAATAATAGGGAAATTTGTACTTTCCGACTCCATTCTCTATGAAATATAATATGGTTATTCTCAACTTTTTTAACATCTTCATCGCAACCTTTAAATAATGTAGCAAAACTCGTCAATCCTTCCATTTTGGCCATTAAATGATGGTTTGTCATTCTCTTTAAATAAACAAAAATAAAAGAAAGAAATGAAATAAAACAGTTATTTTGCAAAGAGAGTCCTATAACTCTTTAAAAAGTGCAAATAAATCTCACTCAAAAAGAATTAAAGGCCCAAAAAAAAAAAACATCTTTTTCTACCAAACTCAAATTTAATTCATAAAAATAAAAATAAAGATAATATATAGATAAAATATTTTTTTTTCTCCCCCCCAACCCAACTGCCCACCCACTGTAACAAAAATCACCATTGACATTGGACATTCACCAGCCTTCCACCATCCATATGCAACGCAAAATCACAATCTAGATCGCAGAGATTTGATTCCAAGAATCATAAAGATTTTTATGCGATTTGATTATTGCAAACGGATGTTAAAGCTCTGGAGAGATGCTTATGAAATGCGGTAGTTCTGCTACGAATGATGATAGTGTCGCTGTTATCATTAGTGTGATTATATTTGTAGTGATAATTTTTTATCGCGAGTGCGTAGGTGTGAATTTGGCTGCGGAAGATCAAATATTTCCCTTTTTAGTTAGTGTTGTAATACATATTTAGTTGTTTTAATTCAATATGTATGTATGTTACGTTATAAGACTCGATTTGTAATTTTACCTTTTTTTAAAATTGTTTTATTGCTCTTGTTTATTTAAAAGGGAGGGGCAAATCTATCATTTAATGGTCGAAATGGAAGAAATGACTAGTTTTGTTATATAATTGAAAGGTTGGGCGGCCATACTAAATTTTGAAAAGTTAAATTGCTAGCCTAAAAATTAAATGAGCAAATTAAACGTGCATAAAATTTCGGAGTATTACATGGGCGATTAATTATGCTAAAAGAAGATTGATGATAGATTTATTGTATCTAATAAATGTTGGTAATAAAAAGTACAAATTTTTCGTAATAATAAGACTTGGTAGTCTTTCAAATATGACTTATATGAATGGACCAAATTCAAATGGCTAGGTTGTTATATGTAGATTGTTATTCATAAGAGAAATCTTTTTAAACTATAAAATGGTAAATTACGGTCATACCCAAAATTGTAAAATAACCAAAAAAAAAAAGGTAATATAAAATATATTATATAATTTCAAATGATCACTTAAATAGTAATAACCTTCCAATATATATCGCAACAAAATAAGAATCATGCTACAAGTACATTGAGTTTGACATTAAGGTCCTGTTTGAGCCCCATTATTTCTCATTACATTAAATTAAAATTTTCTCTTTCCTACTTTTAACCACACAATCTTCAATAAAATAATATTACACGTAAATCAAAAACTTTTCAACCACTCATTTTTCAAATAAATCACTACTCAAAACATTATAATGAAAAATAATGTGGCTCAAACGGGGGCTAAGTTTTACATTGTGCCACGTGCCGACATCACATTGGACGATTTTTAAAAAAAACACACTTTCCCGCCAACTTCATTTTTTAAAATATTTGAAAACAATGGAGTGTCGAACTCCATTTTAAGCAAAGAATGTACAAGAAGCCTTATTCACAAAATAATAAGAACACTATTTTATCACTGGGACAATATTTTAATCCTTGCCACAACTTTCATTTTGGGATTTAATAGCTCTCATACCCTGAATCAGAGCCATATATTTTAACTTGTGCCTTGTGAGCAGCACCAACTGCAGTTGATAGAAAGAGAGCTTAAAATTACTTATTTTATTCAAAACTTTGTTAAGCAAAACGTAAAAGTGGTCGAATTTGACTTAATAGTACATAAAATAGAATAAAGTATGGCAAAATTTTTTTTTGACAACATTGTATTCAAAAAATAAAGTTTTGATTGAAACAAACTTGAAAAGGAGGCGAAAAAAATGAAAATCAAAGTTATGTATGTATGTATAAATTTCCTTCACAAATATAAGTAAAGAAAAAAATATTAAGTGAAAAAAAAAAAACCTAAAAAATTCACTACACCTTTTCAAAAATTTTAAACAATTTTCTTCGCAAATTACGGTGTATTTAACTATATTTTGATGAGATTTCTGTATAAAAAAGGATTGTGTAATTATTTTCTAGAGTTTGGAATTGAAAATGAAAGAAACACTTACATCTAAAATAATTAAGTGTTAGATATAGTGTTTTATCGACTTTACCTTTTTAAAGGTGAGAAAATCAATGTGGACGTTTACAAAATAATGTAAAAAAGACAAGATATGCCAATAGAAGTAAATAGTTATTTTTCAAAGGTTGGGATGAATTTATTATTAGACTGTAAAAGAGGTCTGATTGTATAAATTTCTCAAAAGGAAAAGAAAAAAAAGGGATATGAGGGGAAATTAGGATTTCAACCCATAATCTTCCACCCAAAAAAAAAAAAAAAAAAAAAAAAAAAAAAAAAAAAAAAAAAAAAAAATATGAAGAAGAAAAGTAAAGGACTTCCTTACCACTAAACTATGAAGATTTTACATATATTATTCTAACATTTAAAATAGGCAGGAAAAAAAAAATCCAGAATTTTTGGCTCCCTTTGAGTACGGACCTGAGACGAGGACCAAATTAGAAAACCCTGGTCATTGGCTCATAATTCATTAGCTTGATAATTGGTTTGTTGTGGAATTGATACGAACAAGACACTCTCATGTTCGAAGTTGTTTATAATCAGTTAAATTATAAATACATATTAATAAGTCATGGATCTATGATTAATATACAGACCCTAGCAATTTTCGACCAAACCACCAAATTGTATCTAATTAGTACTTCAATGACATCTAAGTCGTTGCACATGGACAATGTACATGATATAGTAACTATCAATCTATACCATAAAAGGCTTTCAACACAACACATTTCGATTTCATGCAATACATTGTCATGAATGTTGTGCCTCAGAAGCACAACATGTGCAACATGGTTAAATAACCATGCATTCCCGATCAAGCACTTTCCATTCAATTGATTGTCTATCCCTTGTCAACATATGTTGCATGAAATGTATTTTAGTCAAATATCCAAACAAAGGTAAAAAAACAAAACATTGTCGTACCACATCCTCCATCAACTTTCCACATTGTGGACCTTCAAGTAAATACTATGACTTGCAACTCCAATAAATTGCGATACAAGCCTTGTTCTAAGACTTCATAACGCCATGCCACATGGTTATGTATCCACATGCCTTCTCTCGAGCACTCGTCTATGTAGTTATTGAAACATCGTCGACTTTGAGACGAAGCACCATTCAAGAGGCAGTTATACGTAGTAGCCTTCCTAGAAATATGAAAATATTGTTGTAGGATGTGATATTTATAACATTATACCGAGATACAATTTTGAATTACAAATTTTACCAACAAAGGGAACTCCTATTTTTTTTAATATAAAAGTTACCAACAATTTCCTTTTATTTTTTTATTCTCGCCCTCTTGTTAAGCAACTTTTCGAAAAATTTAAACTATCTTACAGACAAAAATTAATTCATGTTGTTAATCTCTATTATGAAAAGGAATAGTTACTTGTATATAATACAATGGTCATACGGTGTCCACCCCCTCACAAGGAGGGAAACTCACTTCGAGTAAAATATTCGATGTAGTCTCCCATGTAAGAGGGTGGATACCGTTATGGATACCCTGATGTAAGTATAGCATCACCCATTATGAAAATTAAATTGCATCATTATTGACAAAATGTATTAGACAAAAACTACTTGATTCACAAAAAATGACAAATTCACCTCTGAATCTTTTAACAATCTTGGATTAATTCTAATTCGACCTTTAAACTATTTATTTTTCTTGATAATACTCGAGCCGATCTTTAAAACTTTTTACATAACGGATCTTATCACCATGTGAGTTCAACTTTTGATCTTATCATTCCCAAATTGATTCTAAGTCATCTTTAATATTTTTTCGTGATAATAATCGGACCGATCTTGAAAACTTGTTCAATAATCGATCTCCTTACCTCGTGGTTGAACAGTTTGATCTCTATCTTTTCTTTCCCACATTTGTAATGGATCCAATGGACTGTTAATGTACTGTGACAATTATGTCCTTGTTTAAACCCCATTTTGAGGAAAGAATGCATTTTTAAATAGTGTTGATAAAAAATATATGGTTAAAAATTACGAAAAAGTCTTGAGTTAGCGTGTAATATTGTTTCATCGAAAAATATGTGATACAAAATGAATTTTGAAAAAATAAATTTTTAAAGCTTGTTATAATGGACAATCCATGTAACTATAACCAAACGTTGAGAGCTGTTTCCGGAATGTTCCACAGTTCTCTCGTATCTCTTTTCCGAGGCAGTCGATCTTCTGTTCTCTAGCCCCCAAATTCGTAAACTATACATGACACTGATATGCCCATCTATAAACTCTAGACCCACCTAAATTCCATAGCCAATTTTCACAAAAAGGATATTTTGTTGCTATTTTTGTTCATGATTTCGGGGTTTCTGTAGAAAAGTGCCTAAGGGTAAAAGAAGAGTTTTGGCAAAGTGAAGAAGAGAAAGAGAATTGAGGAAGGGGAGATGGGGGTGGACTATTACAAGATTCTGCAGGTGGATAAAAGTGCCAAAGATGAGGACTTGAAGAAGGCTTATAGAAAGCTTGCAATGAGATGGCACCCCGATAAGAATCCCAATAATAAGAAGGAAGCGGAAGCCAAGTTTAAGCAGATTTCTGAAGCCTATGATGTAAGTTCTGCTTTATTTCAGACTTTATTAATTGATGTGGATTCATGGCTTGAGCCAATTTGGTAATTAGGGTTATGGTTATCTGTTAGATTCCAAAAATTGAATCTTTTTAGGTTTTGCTCATAATCTACACTGAGTTAGAGTTGTGTTATGATTAAGGGGATGCAGAACATGTAAATTGATTATTGTTTTTCTACTAGGTGCTAAGCGATCCTCAGAAAAGAACAATATATGATCAGTATGGTGAAGATGGGCTGAAGGGGCAGGTGCCACCTCCTGACGCCGGTGGTGCTGGGGGGCCCACTTTCTTCTCCACAGGGGGTGGACCTACATCTTTCCGATTCAATACCAGAAATGCTGACGATATATTCAATGAGTTTTTTGGATTTTCTAGCCCCTTTGGAGGAATGGGAGGTGGTGGTAGTGGAATGAGGAATGCTAGGTTTGGTGGCATGTTTGATGATGATATGTTTGCATCTTATGGCGAAGGAGGTGGTGGTGGATATCAATCAGCACCGCGGAAAGGAGCTCCAATTGAGCAGAGGTTGCCTTGTACACTTGAAGAGCTCTATAAGGGAACTACTAAGAAGATGAAAATTTCAAGAGAAATCCTGGATGCTAATGGGTAAGTACCATTCTTCATATCTTTGTAAATTATCTAATGATTGCATAATTATTATTCTTTTACTTGGATTGTGTACTTTGTTTATGGATTCTTCATTGTTTCATCATATTGAGATTCTTGCCCAATTGTACGGTTGCATTTTGTACTTTTTGTCTTGATAAATGAAACTTCTTGTGAGATCCAAATTATTGAATACCAACAAGATAAGTTTGGCTTATAGGACAGGATGATTGGTGCTGGCTGCCTGATGCATTTTTCTTCTGATTAACAATTGATTATGATTTCTCTCCATTTTTTAGGAGAATAAGATGAGAGTTCAATTCCTTATGGTGTCTACGTAGATATTCATGTTTGATGAGTAACAGTCTCGTATTTTGGTCTTGAACAAAGTTAGTAGTTACATGTCTTATGAAAGTTTGACGAAATTAATCATGATAATTATTATATCTTGTTTTAGTAATTCTTCTTCCAGTTTATGGATGTCGATTCAAAGGGTACTGTATGTAATTTAAACTGACATAAGTAATTTGGACACATTATTAGCAATTATTCTTCCATTTTATGGATATTTGCACAAGTTATTTATTTATTGCACTAATTTTTCTTTGATAAAAATCATTTTTATCTGTGGCTTCTCAAATACTAACAGTTTTTATTTCATACAATTGTTTATGCGTTGGTACTTAAATAACAAGCACTCTTGAAAAGTAAATGTTGCTAGAATGTTATGGCTAGAAAGACAGAAATAGAATTAAACATTACTTAATATTTCTCTCCAATAATTTGGATCCTGACTTGCTAGTCTCCTCACGTGGCAATCGTTGACAAAGAATATTCCTTAACATACAAGTAAACATAATCTTTCCTTCATACCTACTAATTCTACATTCTGTATTGGTATAACTTCAATAGTAAGCATTTGGATTTTGCCTATTAATGACTTTGTATTTTTGGTTGCATTAATTGCTTTGACGGTCTTTGACTTTGGATGAAGATGTACTTTGTTAAGGGCGGAGTTCCAGTGGATGGAAGAGGGATAGAATTTTACATTAGATTTAGACTCAATTGGACAATGGTGAGAAAAAGGGCCAGGTAGTGTCGTCTGGGGTCAGTTAAATGTAAGATTAAGAATGAGGTTCAATTCAAACTTTGTGAAGCAGAAAGGGGAAAATAAAGATAATGTAAAGCTCAAAGCTAACTTATATCACTAGTCAGTAGCCACTGTATGTGGCAATCGTTTACAAAGAATTGTCCTCAGCTTCCAAGTAAACATAAGCATTTCCTTGATGTTCTCTATCACTATTTTCTTGTAATGGTTTCACTCTCATTAGCAAGCCAAGACTTTGTGGAATTTTGGGTTGTATTAACTGCTTTTATGGCTTTGGTCTTTTTCTGGATGAAGATATACATTTCTGAGGGCAGAGGTTTTGGGGTGGATGGATGAGGGATAGAGTTTTCATTAGATTTAGATGATTGGACAAATATATGTGATACAGCAGATTCTGAGAATGTGAACTATACCAAAGAAATGAGCACAAATGGTATAAGCTTTATTTCTGTTTTTGGCCCATGTAACATTGTTTCAGTAGCCGTGGCATGCATTTAGTTTGACAGGAAACACAGCCATTTATTTGATTTTAGTGGGGGTAATGCAGTTAGGCGAGTTTTATCTATAAGTTTGAGACTATCATGCACGGACACGTCGACATGTGCTTTTTAAAATGTCGATTTATATATTTTATCTTTATCACTATGCTTTTTATCTTTTAATAATATCAATTCTTTCATAGTTTTGATTTCTATTCATGAATTCTTTTAAATTAGTTGAGTAGCTATTCGTTATATTAAAATAACTTATGTTAAATTAGATAGCTGACTTTTGGGGAAGGGAAAATACATATAGTTTATGTCGTGGAATTTTTGAGGAGTGTCATGTGACAAATAAATTATTTCATATGTACGTCTATCTTTGATAAATCCTACAATTAATTTATGTAATATTTGTTCCTTTATTTCTCTAGGCAAATTTCTAGTTATATATAATGTTATTATTTTTAATTTATTAGGGATGGGGTTGTAAAATATATAACATCCCTTTTCTTCAATACATTGATAATAATTATTTATTTTTATAATTTCCATAAAGTAATTTCAGATTATTATGAAATCTATTTCTCTCTTAATATATATATATATATATATATATGCTTATATTCTTCAAATAATATCCTTTTAATTATTTTCTCTTTTAATTCTAAAGGTAGATTTTTAATTACTCTAAAAATTTCTAATATTTCTTTTACATCCTTACTATATGTTCCAACTATATTATCTTCTTCTATATATCCTTCTATGTCAGAACTATATTTTACCTGGTACCTTAGTCTATTTTTATAAGTTTCAATAATTTCTAAAATCATAATTTTATTTTTTATATTTTCTCTCGTGATCTCTATGACTCTGATACCAATTGTGCGGGTGCTATTATGAGCGAACAAAAATCTAATAATCTAAAAATCTAATAATCATGAATCTAAAAATCTAAATTTTTTTTATATTCCAAAAACTCTTTTATTTTACTATTAGGTTAAAATAAAATCTTAAGATAAAGACTAATCTATTTTTTATTTGCCTTCTTATAGATTTTTAAGTAATTCTTCAAAGTCTAATAATGTTTGAGAATTTACAATATCAATATCTGTTATCATATCTATATCTGTTCTAAAATGTATATCATATTTTGAAATATTTTTCTTCCTTTTTTCCAATTTATCTATGATATCTTGTATATCTTTTATAATTATTGTTCTAACAATTCCTTTAGCAAAATTTTCTAATAAGTTTTCTTTGAAACATTTTAATATTTCTTGTGATGCATATAATTGTTCTTGATATCCTATCTTATCATTTTATTTTTTATTTTTAACAACCTTTTTTATATTATATGGTCCTCTCTTATATTTGGATTTTTCTATTTTATAATTAGTCATTAATAATTCTCACAAATTTTTAGAAAAATTATTTTTTAATTTTTTAAGGACTTAAATAGAAGATTTATATTAGATAAAGGGTTGTTTTTTAATATTTGTTTAAGAGTATTTTAGGTAATCCAAAATGTTTAGAAAAGTCGAAGGCTATTTTGGAAAATACTTCCTTTATTTAGGTCAATTTGAGGTATTTCCCATATACTTAGCATATAAATTTTTAAATACACAGAAAGAAAAAATACACATTGATTATGTTTGTTTATTTTCTTGAGGCCATTCAATAGGTTTAGCACCTTTTTTTTAAGCAATTAACATTGTGCTATGTTTCTAATTTTATCTAAATTATAATACTATATAATCACAAATTCATATATAATATTTAAAAATAACGTGCTACGCAAATTTGTTGGTTATAGGTAGAATCACATGTTTCACGTGTGTGCCATACCAACCATTAAAATCATTTTTCTGTATTGACATTGTCTCTCATTGAAAAGGAATTTTCATGATTTAGATAATTCATATCCACATTTAGATAACACTGAACGACCTTAAGAATATAGAATAAATAATAATAGGGAACTTTGTACTTTTCGTCCCCATTCTCTACGAAATATAATATAGTTATTCTCAACTTTTTTAACATCTTCATTGCAACCTTTAAATTATGTAACAAAACTTGTCCATTTTGGCCATTAAATGATGGTTGTCATTCTCTTTAAATAAACAAAAAATAAAAGAAAGAAATGAAATAAAACAGTTATTTTGCAAAGAGAGTCCTGTAACTCTTTAAAAAGTGCAAATAAATCTCACTTAAAAGAATTAAAGGCCCAAAAAAAAAAAAATCATCTTTTTCAGCCAAACTCAAATTTAATTCATAAAAAAAATAAAAAAAAAATCAAGATAATACCCAAACCCAACTGCCCACCCACCGTAACAAAAGTCACCATTGACATTGGACATTCACCAGCCTTCCACCATCCATATGCAAAACAAAATCACATATGACATATGAATGGACCAAATTCAAATGGCTATGTGGTTATATATAGATTGTTATTCAAAAGAGAAATCTTTTTAAACTATAAAATGGTAAATTATGGTCATACCTAAAATTTTCGGAGCTTTAAGGCAAATGAAACTAAATCTATTAACATAAAACTCAATTATAAAATAACAAAAAAAAAAAAAAAGTAATATAAAATATATTATATAATTTCAAATGATAATTTAAATAGTAATAACCTTCCAATTTATATCGCAACAAAATAATAACACTATTTTAGGGATTTAATACCTCTAATACTCTGAATCAGAGCTATATATTTTAACTTGTGCCTCGTGAGCAGCACCGACTGCAGTTGATAGAAAGAGAGCTCAAAATTACTTATTTTATTCAAAACTTTGTTAAGCAAAACGTAAAAGTGGTCGAATTTGACTTAATAGTACATAAAATACAATAAAGTATGGCAAACATATCTTTTTGACGACATTGTATTCAAAAAAATAAAGTTTTGATTGAAACAAACTTGAAAAGGAGGGGAAAAAAAAATGAAAATCAAAGTTATGTATGTATGTATAAATTTCCTTCACAAATATAAGTAAAGAAAAAAATATTAAGTGAACAAAAAAAAAAAAAAACCTAAAAAATTCACTACACCTTGTCAAAAATTTTAAACAATTTTCTTCTCAAATTACGGTGTATTTAACTTTATTTTGATGAGATTTCTGTATAAAAAAGGATTGAGCAGTTATTTTCTAGAGTTTGGAATTGAAAATGAAAGAAACACTTACATCTAAAATAATTAAGTGTTAGCTATAGTGTTTTATCGACATTACCTTTTTAAAGGTGAGAAAATCAATGTGGAAGTTTACAAAATAATGTAAAAAAGACAAGATATGCCTGTTGGAAAAAAATTCCAACTTTGGGGGCCACACATGTACATTTATTAGAATGTGTGGTGCTATTTTAAAGTAAATTTAGTCGATAAAGTGATCCATTGGATTTAATTT